CTTCCTTCCTTCCTTCCTTGAGCATTTAATTCAGTTCATATTTCAGCAGTTGGAGAGAACCACCGAGGTCATCCTGCACCCTGCACAGCAGGCCTCTACTTTTTTAATTCACATTTGTACTGTCTGGGAGCAATAGGATCTTTTTTGTTTAGTGAGGCTTCTGGCACAACAGTAATAAAAGAACAGAATATGGAGTGGAAAGTTTGTCACTAAAGTCTAGTAACAGTTGTCAGTGAGCAGTTATTCTGCTGCAGGGCTGCCTGTCCCCTCTTTCTGCCGTAATTCAGGCGGTTGAACTCCTCCATGATCTGCAGCATGCTCTTTCCTTTGGTCTCTGGCACTACCAGGTAGACAAAGATGGCCATGGACAGACAGTATGCCAGGAAAATGATGAAACAAAAACTACCAAGGCCTTCCTGTGGGAAAAGAAAGAGGGAAAATAAGTTCATACAACTGATCTAAAAGTCTTTCTCTTATGATATGGTGTTCCTATTTTTGTATTAAATGAAACACTTGGCCAGGGACTGAGCTGATGTAAACCTTGCTTGCTGCCACTTTTGGACCAGCACTGAGGTTAAGGTGAACTAATTCTCTGTTCCTGCTGTAAGGAGAGAAGCTGTATGATCAGCAGATGTTGAATCTCACTACTTGACAATTCACAGAGGTGCTGAGCTGCATTTCAATCACTTTTCCTTCCCAATGTGTGTTAGCTCTGTCCCTCCTTGCACAGTTCCCAGACTGCACAGGCTTCAGTTTCCCTGCTGCTTCTTAGTGCTGGGTGGATCCATTTTCACATTAAACATAAAGGAGATGCACCTATAGGGCAAAGAGGGAAAGGAAGGGAGCCCCTTGTGATATTCAGATGATTTCTGACTGTGTCGGTGTCCCTGCCACCCTTCCCATGTTTTCCAGTGTTACTCTGTGTACAGTTAGCAGCATTTTGTGGTTCTACTACACTTTCATTACACCTCTGGGTAAAAAGCAAAAGGCCATCCAAACTATGGTTAATCCTGGCTGTCTGTTGCACAAAGGTCTGGAAAAGGGAAGTAATCTCTGGGTTCAAGAAAAATCTAACCTCCAAACAGAAAATTTCAAAACACCTTGCTTTGCTTACCACGATGAAAGGGAACAAAAGTCCAAGAAAGAAGAGCTGGATCCAGTTTGTAGCTCCATTAAAAGCATAAGCAGCTGGTCTGTATGACTGAATAAATATTTCTGTGGGTAGGGGGCATAATACTCCAGCTGAAAAAATGTTGGAGAAAAAAGAAAAAAAGTAGAAAATTTGCCAGATGTTTCTGTAACTCACACTTCATATGGCTGTAGAAATTGATGGTTTCATCTGACCCAGGCATGTTTGAAATGCTGCTTGGTTCTTCAGGAGAAAGACAAGTAGGAATGCAGTATGAAAGGAAGCTCTAACTCCTACCACAGTGCTGTAGAACTGGGAACATCTACCCCTCACTGAAGAGCAAGGATTCATGCTGTATGACAGCTGTGCCTCTCCTAAGAGTTGTGAGGAAGAGTTGTGATGCTGTGAGGAAGCCAGGGTATATGAAAACATTCCAGTATAAAACACCAACCTGGCCCGAGTCCGAAGCTCATGATGAAGATAAAAATGAGTGCAGCGGAGCAATATGGTATCCAGGAGAAAGAATCCTATGATGGGAAACAAAAATCAAATCAGAAATAAAAATTTCATTAATCCAAGTCTATTAGAAACAGGGTCAATCTTCATTATTACATAGTATTACATACATCTGTGTTCTCAACTTCCACACACTTCTCAAGGAGACAGTGTTGGCAGTGATCACACTTGTAGAAAGCTATTGACTTAAATCTGCACGTACATGGCTGGAAACAGACCACTGTTAGTATGATGGTTGGCTGCAACAATACTTCTACTTCAGCTAAAAAGTTTTTTGGGGAAAGGAAAATAGTATTGATGTCTGCCATGTAACAGAACACGAAGATGTGACACTTGGCTCAGATGCATAAGTGAGGTCTTACCTGTAGAGCAAGCGTGACAGTGAGAAGTCCTAAGGCCAAGGCCATAGCAGCGTAGGTTTTCCATAGCAGTGCCTTCCTCCCAGCACGGTCCACGAGGAAGCCCTGCAAACAGGAGCACCTGCTGTCAGCGCTCAGGACAGGTCCCACAGGGGTGGAGAAGCTGCTCAGCAGCTGCCTTCAGCAGCCAGGCAGGGATCTGCAGGGTGCTGGCCCTAGGAAGTGCCCCCTGCTTGTCCTACTGGCAAGTGAGATGGTGCTGTGTGATCAGCACAAAGTACTCCTGTTGGTTCACTGAAGGGAGCTGTTGCTGGATCTCCATTTGCAGTAGTTTCTAAAGGTTGAAATGAAACAGGCACTGCAGCAGAGTGAAATTCAGGTGACGATCCACTTACACACAGAGCTGTGGTGAGGATCTCAGTGATCCCAACTCCCAGGGAGACGTAGCGGGTTTGGGCAGGGGAGAGTCCAACTTGTAGGAAGACGTTGTATGCATAAAAGTAAACCTGGAAAGAATAGAAATGTGTGAAGGTTGCACCCATGTGATCACGTGTATTACACCAGCTTCTGCCTTTTTTGGCAGATAACAACTAATTAGGGCTTAAGTAAAGAGAAAACATTCTTGATTTTGGCAACGACTCCTCAGTGTTTTTATGAAGCTCATCTGTGGAGATGAGCTTTTACTAGCAGCTCTGCTTCTAACTCAGTAACAAAGACAAACTTTTTCTTTTTACTTTCAGCACTAGCTTTTGTCACATGTTACAGGTTGTAATTCCATCCAGCATCCTTTCACAAGTTTTAGTGTCTCATGTGCAGGACACAGAGCACATACAAGTTTTGACAGTACTTACTAAGCAATTGGCTTAAATGAACATCGTGTATCATCTTTAAAACTTTGCAGTGATTCTGATAGTCACCATTTTTCTGCGTGTAAGTATTCCTAACACATAAGAAATTGCATTTTAGCATTGTAACCCTTGCTAAACCACAGTTCTCAACTTATCTTAGCTCCCAGACTTCCATGGGAATGATTTATAACAAATGCTAACAACTTCCCACCTTACAGCCACTGCTCCAATTAGCATTTTACTCATTGCAGAAGACTTCTTGCCAAGAAACTGTAAACAGTGTACAAAGCAGAGAAAAGTAGCACGCGTACCACATTGACTCCGATCAACTGCATGCATGAGGAGACAAGAAAGAGAGTGATGAACTGCC